TTCAATCCTTTCCTCTCACAGGACTCCACACTTGCCTGCAATTTATCATTCACCTCACACAAATATTTTGTGACCAGGCAGTTCTCATAGGTTGCCTTTCAACTATGGAAATCTTCTTCTTCAGCTATGGCTCCATTCAGCTCTGTAATACTTTACCCATCTGGAAATTATGCAATGGCCCTTCAAAGTCAGCCCTCCATCGCTCCTATCAGAGATTTTTCAAGATCCAGCTGGATAAAGCCCTGAGCAGCCTGGTTTGATCTCCTGGTGTGCCCTGCTTTGAGCAGGAGGTCGGGCCAGAAGCCTGCAGAGTCCTGTGACAGCCTCATTTATCCTGTGGACCCTGTGGCTTTATGATCATTGATGCCTTTCATCAACCCACTCCATCCAAAGAACTGAAAAAAACCCCATTATCCATAACATTTTGCAATCCAAACTTTCTTCTGACATATTTCACTTTATTCCATTATAATCTCCACCCTCAATTGATGGTATTCCTGTGGCTCCTCCTCTGCCAGTCAATGCTCTTTGGAGCAAGAAATCTACTGGCTGCCTTTATGTTCCCAAATCACTCTTCCACTGAAGCCAACAGAATGGGAATGTCAATCTAAACACTGATTTTTCAATGAAAACAGATTTGAGGTGAGACCATTCTCCACAGCTCAGCAGCTCCTGGCAGTATTTAGGAGGGAGTAGCCCCAGGCAGGGCAGTCATTATTTGCAGCATGAAGAAGGCTGGCTAAAGATGGGAGAAGCTGTAAGGTGACCACTGCATCTGAGCAGGGGCTGCTGTATCCCTCCCATTCCTGTACAGCACTGCCTGCCCAGCCACCCCTTCTCCTGGCAGCCCCACAACCCCTGAGGGGAGGATGACCTAAGTGTCTGGGCTCACTGGCTTCTCATTGGGGGACCATCTCATTAATCACTAGGCCAAAACTTCGAGCATTTCACCTTTGGCCACACATCTCTGCAGTGAAGAGTCTGCTGTTACAGTCCCTAGGAATCAGTGTATGTTGTGGGCTCAAAGAAACTGTGACCAAACAGACAAATCCAACACAAGTTGCATCATTGTCCAAATACCATTCTTAGTTCCATGTTTCAGGAAACAGTCTTCTAATCTAATCTTCTAATCCTTCTAAAGCTCTCCAAGGGAAAATGTCCCAGCATTTGCCAGGACTTGTTTAGATTGGAGGTAAGGAAATATTCTCTGAAAGCACTGTCAAGTTGCAACCAAGAAAGGTTATCAAGCACTGGAACAGGCTGCCCAGGGAAGTGACTGAGTGTCCGTCCCTGGAGGTAGGTAAAAGACCTGTGGATGTGGCACTTGGGGACATGGTTTTGTGGTGGATTTGTCAGTGCTGGGTTAATGGCTGGACTGGAGGATTTGAATGACCTTTTCGAACCTGAACAATTCCATGATGTTATGATTCCATGATTCTATGACTACATTATAACACCAGGGCTGCAGCTGAGATGAGGAGATTGCTATAGACAGTTGGACCTACAGCAAAAATTATTTATTAAGTGATAACCTCTGCTCTGAAGATTTTGCACTTGAGAGAAAAAAACACTTCAGGGAAATCAGAAAATTGTACATGATCTTGTATGTGATGGAAATTGTCTTCACTGACTGTTGCTGTACTATTTACATAATACCAAAACTGCATGTGCAATTTTGCAATACTGCTACTTTCCACTAGATGAGTGTTTCTCAAGAAGTTTTGGTCTAGTGATAATTTCAATGCACAGCCATGTATTTTTCATTCTTGCTTTTGCAGTAACAGTCATAAAATACCTTTTTTTTTTCCACATAATAAGAGTCACTGCTTCAAAAAGACCAAAACATTGTGATGAGACAAGCCACCCTAAGCAACGGTGACATCAATTAACATTGCACAGGAAATAATTTCCTTCTGAGGATTTCTGTACACTAAATTAACTTGAACAAATAATTGATAGACAAGTTTTCCCATTTGTCAAAGGAGAAAAGTACCTTAAAAAAGGAACTTTTCTATAGTCACATAAGAATTCTTTAGTAAAACTAGAGACTTCATAATAAATCAATTCATTGCTATATGCCCATCGTTTTCACCCTGCATTTTTTTTCAAGTCTACATTAGTGGCAATTGAAATGAAATAGTTGAATCTTTCTGACTTAACTGAATATCTATCTCAGTTTCCACTCAAGAAAACTATTTATGAAATATGCTCAAACACTTTCTCAATCAGCTGAAGTCAGCAGTTAACTGAGACTAACATGAATCTTGTTTTCTAAGAGTGACACCTAGAGTCTCCTCTGTAAAATTAAAATGCAGTCCTTCACTTCTCCGGGTTTAAAAGGCAACAAGCTTTTGCCCATACTTATTACTTTGAATTGACAGTTGAATATATTTAATACCAATTATTTTGCTATGTTTTTGTGAAGAATCAAACCAATATTTTTTGTTAGGAAGCCTGAATATGCCATGTATCACCACAATAGTTTTGCCTTAGGTAATGCCCTTTATTTTGCAGATGCTATATTTTGGCTTTCATCCAGGAGTGTTTAATTGGTTTGCAAATGTGATTTTCACTACTGTACGAAGGGATGCATCATTCCCAGAGGTACTTTCATTTTATAGACAAGGCAACTAAAAATCCGCAAAGTGTCCCAAGCCATATGGAAAATGAGGGCTGACATACACAAATCCTTAGCTTTTATGCCATAAAATAGCTTGATTTCCTTGTCAGAGGAAGGGAGGCTGAGCTTTGCTGCAGCCTGGCCTCAAACCCTGCTGTGAGAGGAGTGCCGGCTGTCCATGTCCACTGCAGGGCTGACCCCAGGAATGCAGGGTGGCAGGAAAGGTGTTACTTGCCCTTCCTAAAGGTCCTGCGCTACTTCGTGTGTCATCACTGACTGGATGCGCAAAATTTCCACAAGAGAAGTCTCTGGCTACCTGAATCACCTGAAACCATTGCCCAGGGATCTTCCCAACTAACGGTGGCAGTTTTTGTCTTTGCAGGTGTCACTGGCTCCCTTCTGAGGCAGGGAAGCAGCAGTGCCTCCAGCTCCCACAGGGCTCCAGATCCCAGCTACTGCTCCCTACCACAGCAAATACTAGACACTTATGTCTGATGAAGGCTGGAGAGGCCATGCCCATGGACAATTTTTTATTCCATTGACCAGAGTTTGGACAAAAAACACTGAAACTGAGAGCAAACTTGAATTTCAAAAATTAATGGGTGTGGAAAAATCCATGAAAAGAGACATTGTGTTAATTAAAAGTTAAATTACATGCTCAAAAAAGACCATGACAACAAATTTTCCACTGTCTCCCTAATTAACCATTTTGTCTTCAACTGAAAAAAAATGTATTTTTAATAGCAACTCCCTTGTGTTAGACATTTCCCAGAAGAGGAACTAGCTCAGACTATCAGTGTCATCACACTAATGGTTTCAAATGCTCCTGACAAAGTAGAACTATGAGATTTGAAGATTTGCAGAATCTTAGCCCTATGGAACTGCCAAACATACAGACTGGGAATTGTTGTAGTATGTTTTTTTTTTTTTTTATTTGGCATGTTCAGTGTTTAATTTGTGGGTTTGCAACCCCTCTGTATTGTCCTCCCCCTGTTATTCAGTTAAGTGTCCGTTTTTTTGTTGGTTACCCAGCTACTCCCTGCCAAGTTTTAAATCCCCTCCCCAGTTGTTAAGCCCTCCTGTCCCTACCCCTTTCCCCAGAATCTTCCTTACTCCTCCTTCCATTAAATGTCAATCCCTCCCCGAGCCTGCCCTTCCCTTTAGAAACTTCCCTGTCAATTTTGAATGCTTTGAAACCCCATTAGTTTACTTAAACTGTTCTCCTCCCTTGAAATCCTCCATTGGTTTACACACTCTATTCCCCGCCTTGTGCTCCACCCCCAGTTCTCCCAATTAGTTGAAGATTGTATCATCCCCTGACACATCCCCCCCATTTATGAGCTGTTGTCTGCCCTCAGTTAGGGGTGCTGGGATCCCGGACTCGGGGAGTTTTGCCACTGAATGGAGTTATCCCAGTTCCACCCCAGGGCCTGTGCTGCTGCTGCCTTTTGTTCCTGTGACAAAGCTCCGCAGGTAGCTGGGACTCTGCAGAGCTCAAACAGGGCCTCTGTTATGCCCCTGTTCCCACCTATCCGGGACTTAGCGCACCGTGACAGGGAAGGTGTTCATCGCCTAGATATTTTCTCTTGGTAAATCTTTAAAAATGTGACAAAACTAGAATTCCGTCTTTATTCTGTACTATATGAAACACATTTTGGAACCACTACCCTCAACTTCCACAAACTTCTCACAAATAATTTTACAATCCTAGTGAAAGTAATCCATTTGTTGTGTTTTTTGAGTGTCTGATCTCATGTAGATCATGTGACATCTAAAGCTCATGCATGAGTCTGAAAAAAAGTTTTTACATTAATTGTGTATTTTTTATTAGGGATCAATTATTACTTTAAATTAATAATAAAGATGAGCAGTATATAATTATTTTTCTTATTTACATGTAGAATGGCTTGTGTATACTGTTATATATCTATAACCACAAGCCCCAAAGGAAATATAGCTTAGGGGTGGGATTTTCTGAAGTGATCCTCTTTTCTTTGAACTGTATTCACACAGGGTGGCACAAGGCACAGCAAGACCATGCCCACAGCACGTGGGACATTGTGTCTGATGTGCAGGGTAGCAGATCCCACGTTCTGCTGGTGCGGTGCCTTTGGGGGCTGCCCACGAGGCAGCAGGCAGGGTGGGATGCACAGCAGCATGCTCTAACTGCTCCTCAGCAGTTAACCTGCTGTGCCAGGTCAATCAGGAAAGCTTATGAAAAGCCCTCGTTATGCCACTTGTGTTACAGAGGGTCTTTTTCCATTGGAAGGAGTTACTGCCAGGCACATCTATCATCCAGCTCTCAGTTCACTTTCAGCCTTTTGGGTATTCATCTGTTCTTCTTGCAGAAGCAGCACACTGTCTGTCACCTCCTCATTCTTCATATGATGGTTTGTACATAGGCCTGAATCCAGGGAAGGAGAATGTCCAGTTCATGGATGGCCTTGTAGATTCCCTGATCTCCAAGCTGTTGAGAAGATAAAGGCATCAGAAAAGAAACTCACTACAGCCCTTGAAAAGTGCAAGGAGGAGCCAGCATCTCCTGATCTTACCTTAAGAAACACTCTCTTTAACTTTTTGACTGCAGAAGTTAACCTTGTGGATGGAGCACACGGAAGCTGAAGGATGAAAAAAACCCAAAGATGCTGATATAAAGACACAGTGATGAGGAAGAGTCCAGTCCACAGTGTGGCGCTGTAGGGCTACCAGTACAATGTGTGAACTCAGCATCATTTCATCATCTCCCAATACTTCAAATGTGTTCTATTAACTGCACGCTTCCTGCCAAGTTGAGTTCACAACACCCAAAATTGATACTATGAGTACCTCTCAGTTTTCTTATTAAACACTTTCTATTTATCCTAGGAATCTGTACATAGGTTGCAGTTACAGCTTTTGCAAATCATATCCTAGCTCCAAGATTCAAGGTCCTTTAGCTCTGAACCCTCAGAACTTCTAAACCTGAGAGAAGGCAAGGCTAAGGGCCAAAGACCATTGCAAAGTACAGGGAGCAAATTTGCACATTTTTGCAAGCCCTCCAAATATGTTTATAAAGTTAATTTATGTTTTTCTCTGCTTCCCTGCCCATTTCTCCACTGTCTGATTAATTGCAGTCTGGAGGGCTTAACTGTCTCCTCACCACCCTATCTCTGGCCACTCAGCAGTGGCTACCCAAAGCTTTTCCAAATGTTTTTTCAGAGTTGCCAGACTAAGCTTTCTGAGCAACATGCCTTGCTGATCCTCAGCTACCTGGGCTGTCAAAAAGACATTCTTTCTGAGAAAAAAAAGAGAAAAAATTGATAGTTTCCAATCTACAAACAAGGACAACATGTTTGAAAAGAAAAAAGGCAAAGTTCCTCATCTCAACACATGAAAGGAAACAACTCCTCTGAAATTAATGGTTAGTCCTTTTCTATCTCACATGCAGTACTTTAAAAAGGAGCACAAACATTTTCAGGTTACCTTTTGTGCTTCCCAAAGTCACCTCACATGATGAAAGTGGAAAAAAAAGCAAATCTTTAAAAGACATTAAAAGAGATGTTGATAAAAGTAAACTTTTAAAAATCTTCCAACTGGGGCTGTTCTTTCTAACCTGGAGCTTTTTTTTTAATGATCTCTATCTTGTATGATACAGATTTCCACAAAACATTATTTGGTAGCAGAACTGGCCTTAAATGAGTATGTTTGCTTTAGTGGTGATGCACATTACAAACTCCTATCTTCCTGCATATACTGCATGTAACTAAATGAGCTGGCCAACAAGTTAGAGTATTGAAAAATCAGATTGAGGTCTACAAGCTCTGCCTAAAATGATAGAGAAATATTAAAGGCTCTGCAAGGAATATTTTGTCCTTCTACACTCCATTCAAATATGAGAAAACACTTCTGCAGTGCACTACTGCTGTAGCTGTAGGAATATGAGTCCGACTTCAGAAGCAACTTCACCCTGTTCTCATCAGGGCACTCAAGCAAGTAATGAGGTCAGTGTAGACCTCATAATTCTGAAAAACTGAACTTGGGCCTCTATATCATTGAAAAATATTAATGCCTCCTTGTTTGGACAAAACCAAGAACTGGCAGGATGAGAATTGTAATACTGTAATATAAAGTCTTGGGAAGTGGTTCGGAGGCAAATATTGTTAGGATTTCTAGCTAGCACACGTGCCTCTAGCTGGCCAAATTACAGCCTGAATTTGTGAAAGAATATAAGGTGAATATGTCTATAAAGGTGTCACTGTTTCCCTAAGCTGTATAGAGAGCTTTATTCTTGAAAGGTAAAAAATTAATTGCATACTACGTTGTCATGGAGGAAATCCCTTCTGATAAACGTCTTATAGCTCAACTAGGTAATAACAACTAAAGAGCTATGTACACAGACAAATGAGTGTTAATTTATTGAGGAGTAATATATGAAAAAAATCTCAAGTTTACTTTAAGCAAAAGATCCATTACTTTCACTCTATTCATAATTTTTGTTATTCTTTCACATGGCTTTGTATTGCTGGGTTCGAAATAATACAGACATTTCAAAAAATATTAGTTTCCAGAAATGAGATGTCTCCTAGAAAATCATGGTAAGCCATCATTTTTCAAAGAGCTGTTGTTTTCCTACTAGCAGGGACAGTCTTATCACTCTTACCAGCACGTTTTATGACCCAAAAGGTAAGTTGTTATGTTTAGACTTGTGTTGGGTAAAACACTGGCACTAATTATGAAAAAGAATGCAGGAGCTCTGAGAAACCTGCAGCATTTTGTCTCCACATAGGACAGAAACAAATGTATTACTAAGTTATCTAACAAGCTACAGTCACTGGATATTCTGAATTCTGTCACAGTTGACAGTCTAAACTCCTCAGTGAGTACTGGCATTTGTATAGAATGTAATTGTTTCTCCAGACAAAAATGTAATCTCTATAAAGCATATTATATCATCTGAAATTATATTGTCACATTCTGGAATTACAGCATTTTCTGGAATTTTGACAGACACAAATAATCACAGCAGTATGATCACAGCAGATTGCTGTGAATAATGACTGTAAATCTCAGCAGTTTAGCATGGTTTGAAATACAGAACCTGAAAGCTGGTGAAGTTTTCTCCCTTTAGGATTTGAATCTTTGTACATTATGCAAATATCCCAGTTCAGTTCTGACCTCTGCAGAGAGGTCTGCAAAGAGATTCTCTGAAACTGTTTGGTTTTGCATTGCAAATGTTTTTATGCATGTAGAACCACTGTCCTTTTCTTTCGTGCTACCATGCAGCTCAGATTAGTCAAAGTTTCAATTAATTTAATTCATTAATTAATTGACTTGGCATCCTTCTCTCACTTTTTAAAATCACAACAGACATTTGCCTGGATATCCATGGCTATATTTCACTCTAGGTCAGGCTCCACTTTCTGGGACACTGTTATTTGTGAGGACTTCAGGTTTAGGAGAGGAAAAGGGATACCCGTAGGATATTTAGTTTTAAGACACACCCAGTCACTATTTGTTTACCCTTAAAAATTATGTGAGAAATGACCAACGAGTGATCATCTCAGCATCTACCTGGTATGTTAGTGAGTATATGCACAGGCAAAAGTGTGCTCTAACTGCTGTCCTGTCATTACTTAGGCAGAGCTGGTAAAAGTGCCTCTTCTCTGGGGCACCTGGAGACATTTTGCCAGTGGGCAGCATCACTCTCTGACAACCTGGTCTGACTGTGAGCACAGCTAATACATAGCAACTGCTCCCGTGTGCATTGTAATTGTGGTCCCTGCTCACTCATGAGACACCACCAGTTCTTTCAAAATTCAGTATGGAGGAGCAGAGATGACATGTGAGTAAAGATTACACACCAGCAGAGGGTAAGTTGTTAAAGAAGGAAAGCATTACCACTGTAACATCACAGAAACTTGAAGAGCCTCATTTCTCCCTGTGACCACCCTGTTTCTTTGCAGCTTTAGTGATGAGAGGGCAGCACAAGGTAGCATCATCAGTAGGGAAGTGGCTTGGCTCCATGGGATCTCCACCACCTTGCACACTCCCCACAAGGTCACTCTGGGAGGGAATGAATGGTGTTAAACTTCCCTGGGCCCAATGGAGAAGCCCTCAAGAAGTTGGGTCCCCTGTGCCATGGGTCACACCATGACTCTGAATCACCCTCTGCCTCTCCATCTGCTGAAAAACTGGGATGGAGCCCTTCCCTAACTTTTGAGATGGACAAAGTTAGCTTAACTCTCAGGAATATACTCACACAGGCATCCATGTTTGCTTGCAGGGCCTGGAAGGCACTAATGAAGTACAACTTGTCACTTCCTACTTCAAGACGACTGAAGACATTTTTCACATAGAAGGAGAGGAGCTGATCTCGAACAGTGCAGTTTGTCTGAAAGCAAATCAAGTAATGATTTGTCAAATGAACACCCCCAAAGTCAACTTTTATGAAGCTAAAATTTCAGCCTCATAAAACATGCATGTTTAGAAAGTCTGCAATCAATAAAACCATTTTTATTAATTTTAGTATACAATTGACCTGTGACCTTTTGTTTTAAACAGCTCAATCTGCCTCTGTGGTTTTGAAGGAAAGGCAGGAGGGTGCTGTGCTGGCAGGCACAGGGGTATTGGTAAGACCAATCATGGTCTTACAGAACAGAAGTGACAGCAACAAATATACTTAATACACAAAGAGTAAATGGAAGATAAATTGGGGAGTTAAGTCAGACCATCTAGGTCAAATTGTTGGAGTGACTGTATGTGACATTTTTCCACTCCTCCACATCACTGTCCCATGCCATTTGATAGGCTGTAGGGTATCCAGCCCATCCCCAACTGCTGCTCCAGAAAAGATCAGTCATCCCATCAGCTCTGTATTGTATTATTGCCTGACCTGTGGGTTCTCTTGGACACCTAAAGGTATTTCAAACTACTATATACCTATTTTTAGGCAGTGGAATGAAGTGTCAGGTGAGAGATTCCTGTCAGGAGGCTCATGCAGATGCAGATGACACCACTCAAATGTGGATATCTGTGTGTAGGTCCCACAGACAAGTGAGGAGCCTTCACTCCCAAGATAATTGGTGAAATCCGGGGGGCATCAAAGGCTAACAGGTCCATACTTAAGGATAAACCAACTCAGTTGGTCTTGCTGACTAGACCTCTTCACGAAGAAAACTAAAATGTCTCACACACTTACAATTAGACACCCCAAGGCTTGTTTCTCATGCTGAGTTGCACTGGGAAATCTGATGATCCCCTTCCAGTGCACCTGCAGAGGGCTAAGCTCAAAGCAGCTCCTTGGGTGTCTCAGCTCCCTGCAGCATGCCCGGGCTATCCATGGTGCTGCACACCCTCAGCAGAAGGTGCCTCGGCCATGGACAGTGGCTGTGGCTCTGGCTCTCCTGTGGGGGCTGGTGCCTGAAAGCATTCCTGGGAGGCTCACATGCAGCCAAGGCTCACAGGAGGAGTGCTGCAACAAGCACACTCCTCCCTGACCAGAAACACCCTCACCCCAACCTCCCGGCACAGCATCACTTCAGCTGCCCACAAAGAAATGCCTCCAGGCAGGCTTTCCAAATCCACTTCTTTCTCCCCCTACCATGATCAACCATCCCTTCGTATCCCAGGGGAATATCCCTTTCATGAAACAGAAATAACACTCTTCCTCTAAGCATGTGGCTTTCATAAATATCTGTCCCAATTAAACACAAGTGATTTTTGCATTAGTTATCATTTCTTTTGATCACATATTTCTGTTTCTATTGACCAAAGGAAAGTCAAAGTAAGAAAAAGGAAAATAGGTAGTATAAATCTTACCATAAACAGCATTTTTGTAGTCTTTTTAAGCAATCTTGTGGTCTTGATGAGATCCTTCTGTAAAATAAAATATGATAGTATTAATTAACCCGGGCAGAGGAAGGGAGACAGTTATAAGTCTGGTTTGTACAAAACTTAGTAACAATAATATTAATCTTCATTGTCTTCTTCAGATGTAGGGTGAGGACTCACTAAATCTGTATTTCAATCCTAGCCTAACTGCAAATTTCTTTAATGGAAAACTCATCCAGCCTCTCTATGCATCTTCTATGCATCATTTTTTACCACCTTTACAAAAGAAGTAGCTGCACTACCCCGTCTCTCAGGACTGTAGAGATCATTGAACATATTAAAGTTTCCAGAAGTGCAGTAATTAAACTAATAAAGAAGCATCTATAAATAAAATAAACTTTTTCAGTTAGTGGGATCAACTTACAGGAATAGATGATTTTAAACTAGTTGCCTTGACATACAGGTTCTCTGTCACCTGGGAGAGGAGTCCTTTTCGGCAGGTATGTTTTCCTGTAGGTGACTTTTTGCCTTCCACAGCAAAAAGACAAAGCAGAAATAAAAAATGCCCAGATCTGAAAATAGAACATCCTTTCATCTTCGCTCCCAAATCTTCGAGCCTCTACAGTCACAGCAGCATGTGTGATGCAGCCAGACTGGTTAGATGACAGAGGTTAACCTAATTTTGTTAACCCTCAAAGTAGCTTCTTCCCCGAGATGCTCACACAGATAACCTATTGCTCATGTGGTGGCTGATCGGTATTTTTGCTGTGCTTTTTTATACGGCTTGCTCCACTTTCAACAAATTTGACCACAGTCATCTGTGACGTTTTTCTAAACGATATCTCCATATTTACTGGCAACAGGGTCAAGGTTTCCAAGAAAGAAGAATTTCCCTATCATGTGAGAAGTCTTCTTTCACTTAAGTGGTGGTCAAGTGAGGAAAGGGTAGTTGAGCGCTAGTTTAATTTCTCAACATGCCAAATGTGTTTTGGGTTTTTTTTTAATTTTTCCACAAAACCTTATGGCAGCACTTTTCTGAAAGGTAATGGCCCAGAAGGGAAAAAATTCTTAATTTACTCTGAAAAGGATTAGAAAATCTGTTATCTATAAGGAAGCTGGACTGCATGGTGTTTAGAATTTCCCTGTTCAGTTTTTGAGGTGGGTGTTTTTTCCAGGGTATAGCATCTATCAGGTGTTTGCATTTTAAATTCGGTCATCTTTTTCCAGGGCAGATTTTGCCCCAGTAGGAGCAGTAGACTGCTTAGTGTGAAAGAGAGGGCTCCAGGGAGGGCTCTGTGGAAGGACCAGGACATCCTTGGCTATCAAGTTAATTCAAAAGCCCACTGAGAGTCGTGGGCACTGGGAAATAATGTGCAAGATCACAGCATATCCATCATAGAGGTGGTAAACGTAAAAGAGTAGAAATGATCACTCTTCTACAAAGGTGGTCAGAGACTGGACAGTCTCTGTCTCTGGCCTGTTTCCAACACAGTCAAATGCTGCAGGTTTCTTAGGTACCACTCCAGACAGGCAAGAACGTCACTCCAAGGATAGACTTGGAAATCGTGAAGTAACACCAGCCATGTGAGGCTGTTAAGCCAAGGATGGTTTTAAGTCAAATGTCAAGATCCTGGGTGAGACAACTGGCTGAGGTGTGTGCAAGAAGATGAAGAAAGCAGGTTTTGGTCTAGAACAAAATTTCCTTGGTACCATTTTTGTTGGATGTAAAAGGAAGCCCTTGAAATATTCACTCAGGACAGGCATTTGACTTGTTTAATGTTTCAAAAGCAACATAGAAAACTTTAAACAGATCAGAAGAAGTGGTTCAAACTGCAGCTGAAATGACTCAAAGTGACCGTGATCTGTTAGGTCCAGCAGCAGAGCTGTTTGTCCCTCTGTGGTGGCACAGGTGTGCCTGTGCCCAGAACGTGTGTCAGCTCTGGGAGGAAGAGAGGTGAGACAAGCTGGGTAAATAATTCACTCCAGCCTCAATCCCACTGACCATTTACACACACCAGCATGCATGCGGCCTACAGGCCAAGCAGGGCTCTTCAAGCATCCCACCCATAGCAGCTCTGGGAAATGCATTTCTCTACAGAACCATCTACACACCACAGTCACTCGACTAGCACTGAAGTGCTGATGGGGTGCAGGGACAACAACAGCCAGCAAGGGGAGGAGGTCTTAGACTTTGGAAAGTGGAGAGGATAATGGCCTGAGGGTTTATGTGCATTTTAGTGCTCATGTGAACTGTGGCCTCTATTTAAACATTCCAAATGCTGGTCAGGCTTGCCAGATGAGGTGCACTGAACCTCAGCACACATGACATGTGGGCAGCAGATTAGCCTCCTATTGCTAGTTTATTCCTAGAAGATGATCTTGGGTGAAAGCAATACAGTCAGAATGCAAAACTGCCTTGGTGTGGTACTCCATGGTCAACAGCTTTCCTCTAAATGGAATAAATGGGTCATGTAGCCAGTCTGTAGTGGCTTTTCATATGAAAATCAATAATTTTCAACATCTCTGAAACTTCTAATGTTGCTGGAAAACCCTTGAGCCCACAAGTTTCATTTTGTCTCTTCTGTGAACTTCAATCACCGTACTTACAGGGCTGTAAGTGACACCTTTTCATTGGGCTCCAGACACCTCTGGATGTGAATCAGTAAATGTCTTACTGAACTGGCAAACTTTTCAACTGGGTGGTGTGAAAGGATGCAGGTAGATGCAAGTGCAAGGTAGCCATACCTTAAAAAAATTAATAAAAATAAAATAGAGCTTTCCTATCACTCCTTTCATAAAAGAATGGGGGCTACCATTTAATAACCAATCCTATAAAATCAATTACATTCCCACAATTTTTGATACAACAATTTGATTTTCTATTGAAAAATATTGGCTATTTCAAAAAATAGCCAATATTTTTCAACTTTTTAATGTGTTATTTGTCAGAACAAAGATAGTCTTATCTTTCTGGGTCTTGTGTAGCACTTTGTATTTTAGTCCCACTTTGGCACTCATTTATACCATAATTATGGTATAAATAATGTAGAATACCAAAGAACCAGTATTACTCAGTGTTTTATAATTATAACAAGCAGAAGAAAAAACAAATTTGGGGACCAGCCCTTTTAGCAATGAAGTCAGAAAATACCTGCAAAGCTTTGTATGAGCAGCAGAGCTGATGTATCCAGGTTAGTCTGAGGACAACAGAGCACACCACAAAGCATGCTGGCTTCCATGAGCAGCCTGGAAACCAGAGAAGTTCAAGGACCCTGCCCCAGAGGCAATGGGATCTCTCTTTAATGGAAAGTTAGATGTACACTATCAGCCAATACTTCAGGAACAACACAATTCTGGTAACGCAAGTAAAGTTCATGTGTTACATCTATACAGAATTGATACAACTTATGACCATGAAAATGAACAAGAAAGAAAGTATCTAAGAAAAAAGTGTAAGAAAAACCACCAGAGTAATCAGGTTTAGATAAGAATTAGATAAGAAAATCTTGCCTGATTTATCCTGTGTAGGGATTAAGTTTCAAAGCAACCTGTGTATGACCTGTGCTCCATGTGAGTGCATGAAAACAACAGCCTGATGAAGATCCTTTCTTCCCTGCTTTATTGTGAGCCACAGAATTGTCTTGATCTACAAGAGCTTATTAGATATTATTAACATTAAATTCTCTTGGTCTGTGGAGAACAAACATGTACAGCTAGCACTTCTGCAAAATTCTGTTGGTCCATTTAAGGTAACAATCATATGACTCGTTGTTTTGCAGCTTAAATGGCTTTTTGATCTCCATCCACAAAAAGCTTTGTCTAGTTTCTTACTTAGGAATCTTCTCACTTTTCACAATTTCTGTTTATTTCATTTCCTGTTAGTACGACTAGAATTAAATGTCGTGTACTTCCTATGAAAATTACTCATATTTGCTTAACTGCTGCTAATGTTATGCTTTCTCTTAGGACTATACCAGTTTTTTTTTTTTGTTTCCTTATCCTGTTTGAATCACTTTGGTCTTCTGAAAAATAAGAGGTCTTCATGATGAGGTGTAGTACTTGTCCTCAGAAACATGATTTGATAAACAACAAAGAAGTTTAGAGATATTTTACAAAAACTGAGGGTGACAACACTACTGTAAGGGCATAAAAAATTGAGATACCCCAGTACCTCCCTTGGAGAGAGTAGTTTGGAGAAGAGAAGCTTCTAGCATTAAATACTGAGCCTGCAATTTTCTAAAAATGGTTGTAATGAAATCATAGGTAAACCCTGAATACCCACCAGAGTTAAACTGTTTCTTGTGACCTTCTGTTAGTATAATAGGAACCCTTGGAGCTGCTATAGATTTTGTACAAGTTCTGTACAAGTACAGAACTATTATGAGCCAGTTTTTCAGGCAAGGGTATCAACATTACCTCCACAAACTCAGCACACAGGTACCCAGTAATCCACTACCAGTAGCCTCAGCAGTCATAAAAATCAGGGGAACAACAGAATAGCACAGAGATGGCACCAGCAGCTACAGCTTACATATTATACACACACTGCTCTGGCTAGGAAAAATAAACATGCATAAATGAAAAAAGGACAGTGCAAAGAAAATGAAAATCACTGGATGTCCAGGACTGGATGTCAGCCTGGTGCTTTTCCCATCCTTACGCACAGAACTCCTGTTCACCCACTTTTCATGGTGCCTGTCCGGGTGTCCCCAGCTGCCTTTGCCAAAGAGCAACAAAGATTTAGGTCAGAAGTGACCTGGGCAAGTCATCTTGTCCAAGAAGGGCCTCCTACAGCTGCTTGTCTGGGACTGTGTTTAGTCAGCTTTTGAATATCTCTGAAGATGAGACTTCACAATCTCTCTGGTCAACCTGTGCAAATTTTTGGTCCCAGTAGAAAACTGTCTTATGTTCTGGTGGAATTTCAGGGATTTTAATTTTTTCCTATTGCCTCTTGTCCTGTCACTGGGCACTGAGAGGAGCCTGGCTCTCTTCTTTGCTTCCTCTTTTCAGGCATTTGCACACATTGGTGAGATCTCCTTGGCTCTTGCCCAAGCTGAACAGTCCCAGCTCTCTCTGCTTCTCCTCAGACAAAAGATGCTGCAGTCCTTTAATTATTCTGTGGCACCTCACCAGCAGGTCCACAAATCCAATTCTCTCAGAAGTTTTTCACTCTATGCCTTACACAAACCTCATAAAAATTTTAAGGTATTAAGTAAGGCAGAAATCAGACTCAAACCCAGATGATGAAGACAAACTAAACCATATCAACCCAAAACAAAACAACCCCAAACATAACAACAATTTTCCTTCATTTGCACTCCTTTGCACTTTATGTATAACAACTTCTGAGTAAACTTCAGATGTAAATTGCTATAAAACATGCTGTAAGTCCTCTGTCATTCTCAGGAGTAGTTCAGGTGGTGGATCTCCCTCTGCTACTGGCCTGCTTCAGTGTTTCAGTTTGGTGACAGATGGCTGACAATTATCTGTCAAGCTGGTTTTTCTTCAGAAATAAGATTGGAAGGTTCAGTACACTCAGTCTTTTCAGAGATAGAGTTTTTGAAACCACCAAGGTACTAGAACTGAAATTTTGCATTTGTGCACAGAAATAGACAACAAATAAAAAAATAGTTTTCTAAGCAGTACCAGTTTTTATGGCCAACTGCTTCAGAAGAATGTTCAGTGCTATCTGAGTAATAGTCAAGATACATCTCAAATGTCCAGTTATGTAGTTAAAATTATAATCACTTTCTCACTGGACAAGGAGTTGAATTCTATATACAACCTTTATGCATATAGCCTTTACTAGTCACACACATGCGGTCTTGCATTTGAGAACAGAGATTATGAAAGAAGGAGACATGAAAAAATGTTTGAGCATCGTTCCCATCAACCAGTCAAGAGATCTCATTTAGCAACAATGATTCAATCCCCAAACTCTTTAGAAAACCTTTGTTTGCCACCACAAAACTCACAGTAGGAAATCCCTGCACAGCAGTATTTCTGCAGAGTGTACAGATGTGCCAAGCAATAACAGCTCAGCCTTCCCACGTGGGACGTGGCTGATCCACACTCCTTGTCTTCTCTTGTGACATAAAGGAGTGTTCAAAAGTCTGTGACCTGCTTTCTCTTGTAGTGTCATCATGACATTAACAAAAGGTTGTACTAAAATTACAAAAGGAAAAAGCCAACCTCATGGAAACCTGGGTCTGGTTCTGGGGGAGGAGGATGTCCACAACTGCTGGGTTGGTAGAAGTGTGTCAGTTTGCATGGCACAACTCTTATCCTGGAAAACTTGTCCTCCTTCTACTTTTGTGCACTATTTTTTCAGTTTTCTCTCTCCCCACAATCTTTTTTAACCTTCATTCTTGCTTCTTTTTTCAAAATATTTGTAAAGTTCTTTTTTTCCTCTGTTCTCTTAACCCAGGACACTCCTGAGTGTCTTGGTAATACCAGCACAGGCTGCCCATGCAGCTCTCTCTATGTGTTACACCCCCTGGGAGATGGGCTGCAAGACTGGCATTGAATCTCTCAGCTGATGTGCCCGTGATAATGCCAGGCAATAAATTGAACCACAATATGAAAAATCACTTTCTATTTTTTCTTTTTTTTCTTTTTTGCAAGAATAGTCCTTCATTAAAAAAAAAAAAAAAAACCTATGGAGGAAATATTGCTTGCAGTGAGAATACTTGCACTTCAGTAAAGAGGTGAAGTCATCCATTTGGTTTGGAGTTTAAGTTTTTCTGCTTACTGAAAGCTGAATCCTAGCTTTAGCCAGGCAATTTTGAACAACAAAGAAAATCTCCCACACACGAAAATGTAAAAAACTGGCCGTGTCATCTCTCAGGTCAGCTCCCTCACATGTGAGATTTGTTCCAAAATCCTGGCCACTGTTGTTCTCTGTTGGACTGTCCCACAGGACATCTGCCACCTTGACTCCCCAGTGCAGGAGCACAGAACAAAAGCTAGAGAAGCAACAGTGCAGCAAGCAACAAAGTGATTTCCCTGAGGGATTTTCTGTTTGG